ATAGTGCAGATTCCGATCATTTCGGGTCCTGATCATATTGTCATGGCCAGCTTCGTTGTAGAGGTTGACGAAGTGGATGGGACGCGAGCCAAAGAGAGCTACAACCCGAAGCCAGCGGGTCGTCGCATACATCTCCTTGGCTGCTCCATACTTGCGCCCGCCTGGGAGCGTGACCAGAGATCGCTTAGCAATAGTGGCAACCCCACCCTGCTGCGTACGATGATATTTATCTCCAAGGCATTTCTGAGGTCTGAGTGGGTGCCCAAAAGTGGCCTCATACCCATGAGCTTGACAAGCCTTTGAGCAACCCATTTGTTGTTTGTAATCCAGTCGCGTTTCTTGCAATAGAAGTAAGTCGACGTCCATAGTGTCCATGCGTCCCACGAACGAATTCCAAGATGTAACATTTGCTGACAGAATTGTAGCCAGAGCAGGGATCTCTCCCTCCACTGCCGCCCTCTGAGGTGGCGGCTGTTTGCCTCGCATGCGTCGCGAGGCCATCATTGCTCCGACTTTATTTCCAAGGACGTCTTGAGCTTCTTTGTGAACTCCTCAAGCTCGGCCTTCCTTTTGCGTTCTTCATCGTTAACAAGGGTCCCTGTCGCTGGCGATGGCGGTGCTGATGTGGGCGCTGGGGCGATCATCATGTCCAAACATCGCGCAAGTCCCTGACCTTGAAGATGTAATTGTGATAATATTGCAGCATTGTGACTCCCCACCGCGGCTCCGATGGCTGCCGTTAGAAATTCACGAAATTCTTTTGATAGTCCAGCTCCTGCTTCTGACTGCTGAGCGGGTTGTTGTACACGAGGTTGCATCTGTACATCCTGAGCTTGCACCGGCACGTTCGGTCGAGTCAATTGCGTGGCAATGCTCTTCTTAGTTGTGGCAGGTGGCTTCGGCGTAGACGTCGATGTACTTGCAGAGTATTGTGTGACAAGCTCAGCCCACGTAGGTGCTGTGGTCGGAGCTTCCGTAATCTTTTCCACTCTTGGATTGATCGTTGCCTGACATCCTCCAATAGATATGTCACGACTAGCAGGGGCTGACTCAGCACGCACTCGCACCACTGGGACACGTCGTTTGCCGTTGCCTCGCTGCCGTATGCTCACAAATTCAGATTGCCATCCCATCTGCGTCTTGAGCTGGTCGCAGAGGGCCTTGCCGTCAATCAGCGCTGGCAGCGGGGAGATCTCGTAGATCGTTGCCGCTGGTGGCGCTCTCTGTTGTAGTGCTTGCCATGCTGCTGCTGCACTTTGCTTTTTGACACGAAAGAACAAGTTGAGTGATTTGAAGTGATAGCCGAGGCCGCATGCTCCTTCCAGGGTCGTCGTCAGCTCGATCGCCTCGCTGATAGTCTTGCCACGCTGGAATGGTACAAACTCCTCATCTTCTTTTTCTTGTTTGAGTACAGCTCCATCACTCCCAATGTTCGATCTCTGAAAGAAAACTCCATCAGGACCAGAGACTTCACGAAGCTGTTGGACTCTATTTGCTGGTATACGAAATAACGCTGATATCACACGTCGACCTGCATCATCCTCGTTGAACATGCGCCCGCTGTAGCATATGACTTCGAGGTTCGTCGGGATGAGCTTGGTCTTCACAATGTTGGCCATCTCGGCTTCCAAAACACGCCAAGGCGGCAGCTCGTTGTACTTCTTTCGTTGGCCTCCTCCTCCTGCTTCAGCTCGCTTGTCGCGGGCCGCTGTAGCTTGTCGGTGAAGACGTGCCAGTTCTTTGAATAGCTTCTCTGTCGAGTGTTCTTCCAAGACCGCCACAGACATGAGAACCTCTGATTGGCACTCGATCTTTGTGGGGACACGCGTAGGTTTGATGTCCGTACCCTGCACGCCAACATGTTGCCAGACAAACAACTTGCGTAGCTCACGGCGTCCGTCTGGGTGGGTAAGCGGTACACTTAATAATGATATTTTATCCGTCAGCCCTCTTTGTGCACGCTGAAGGACAAGATCTTTCGGAAGACTATCTGGCGGCTGTGCCAAGACGAACCCAAAGGGGTCTTTCGGCAACTCTTTGCTCCAAAAATCCTTGTCTGACAGAAGCTGCGCCAGCTCGTTCACTGTGACCAGGTGGATCCGCTTCATGTCATCATATTGCATTGGTAGCCCGCGTACAGTCGGTAGTGACCAGTCTGCATCGTCGAGCTTGGTTGTCAGCTGCCACGTCGGCTGTGGTGTGGTCGCTGACTTCTTTTTCTTTTTCACTTTCTTCTTCTTGGGCTCCGAGTCCGTGTCGGGGAGCTTCGAGCCAAGCGGTCTCTCCTTGACCCACTTAGTGATATCTGGAAAGATTTTCTCGGCCTCCAACTTTGATATTTCTGCCATTCTTTCTTTGCTGATGTTCCGCAGGTGGTCATACGTCTTCTGAGCCTGGGATACCTCTTTCATCTCGAGCACAGTCATGACTCGAGACGCCATCATCGCTGGAGTGTTGGCCAGCTTCGCCAGTCGTTTGCGTAGTGCAGTCTTCGCCCCCGGCCCATTGCCGTGGAGTGCGTGCTGAAGTCGATTCCACTCCTGGTGGGTGATAAGCCACCTATATCCAAGTGAATATTCTCGATCCCCTGGAAAGATGAAGCCCCAACAACATCTCTCCACAAAATTGATGCTAATATTCTGAAGATAATATATGTGGACGTACTTCGCGACGCAATGGGCAAACTCGTAATACCCATCGTCCGTCGTCATGACAACCGAGAACCTGAAGCTGTGGTTCAGAAGGTTGTACGTCTCGGCAGAGTCGCCCTTGGAGTCTCTGACGAGGCCCCTCTGGTCGATCTCCACTATGTCACCAGACTCTGAAGCCTCCTGGCCACAGTCCTCCACGAACGCCCCCGCCGTGCTTCCCCGGCGGTCCCCGGCGGCCCCGAGCACTGCCCCAGAGCGCGCCGCCCGAGCACAAGCATCTGGAGGGGGCCCAGGGGCACACAAGCACAAAAAGGCACAAGCGACAGGATTCCCCGCAGTTCTCCCCATGTGCTCTGGGTTTCTGCCTTCCCCCCACCTCCCATGTTTTCCCACACGTTCCTGGGAATCGACGATGACTTGTGTATGTGTGTTTCCCCTCTCCTGAAGGAAGGCCCCGAGACCGGCTAAGGGAACCCCCAGAGGCCGCCAAGACGGCCGACGAGGGCCCCCGAGCCGTCGAGCGAGCGGTCCAAGACGCCCAAGGTGGCCGCCATACGGCCGACGATGCCCCCCAAGACGCCCCCAAGAAGCTGCCAAGAGGCTCCAAGTTTTTGAACGATTGTGGCGTTCTCGCCCTTCTCGCTTCCCGACGCTCCAGGACGCTGCAAGAGGCCCCAACGACCGCCCCAAGACGGTCCAAGAGGCCTCCAAGAGGGTCGGTCCCCAAACTGCCCTAGATGGCCCCGAACGGCTCATGAGTCGCCCAAGACGGCCCCAAAGGCCCCCAAGTGAAGGGGTCCCAGGACACACAAATAAATAGACACAAATAAACATATTCCCCATATTTTCCCTATATTTTTAAGGTTTCTGTCTTCCCCCCCACTTCCCATATTTTCCCATATTTTCCCATATTTTCGGGGGAATCGAAGATTAATTGTGTCTGTGTGTTTCTTTCCTTCCTGACCAAGATGGCTCCAAGAGGGGACCCCGACGGGGGACCCGAATGGACATTTCGAGCTCTCGGACCCGGAAGGCGCCCAAGAGGCCCCCCCAAGAGACAGCCAAGAGCCCCCGAGAGGCCCCAGAGAGACCCCCAGGAACCCCTGGGAGGTCCCCAAGAGGCCCCCCAGAGGCTCCCAAGAAGCCCCGAAGCTGCCTCCCAGAGGCCCTCGAGAGCGCTCCCGAGAGACACCAAGAAGCATCCTGAGGACTCTGACCCACAACCCAGGCACGGTGGCGGGATGGGCCGAAGGCCATTCGACAGGTTCAAACCAGATGTGCACGTCGACTGTAATGAAGTATGAATGTCGATTGGAATCTCCCACGGGACATCCAGAAACAAAAACCCACGGGACAACTACGGGACAACCGCCCGAACGACTCACGGGAAAACCCATGAACTGACCTCGGGTCAATCTCGATTCAACCACGGGACAGCCCCAGGACAACCACAGCACAACCCACGGGACAGCCACGGGACAACCCACGGGACAACGCACGGGACAACCGCGAGAAACCGCACGGAACGGCCATGGGACAACCCTGCGCACCCAAGGTGACGTACACATTGCTTTTTTGCCCGACGTCGCCCTAGCTTCGGATGGCACACCACAGCCCTTGCGCAGCTTCGCCTCGCCCGCACGCCTGGCACTAACCGAAACCGAAACAAGTTATGGCTGCAGCCTGGCGGGCTCCTCCTACTCCTCTTCCACATGCTCCTCCCCTATTCTTCTTAGACTATTCATCCTCCGCCTGCTCCTTCTGACGCTACGCGCTTCTCCATTCCTCCTCACTCGTCGCACCTCCTCCTCCTCCTTATCATCGCTCCCGCCCTTCTTCCCCCTCACACTCCTCCTCCCTCCTCCTCCCTCCCCCTCCAACGCCTTCAGTCTTGCTCCTCCTCCTGCTCCTACTCCTCCTCCTCCTCCTCCTCCTCCTCCTCCTCCTCCTCCTCCTCCTCTCCCTCCTCCTCCTCCTCCCCCTCCCCCCCTCCCCCTCCCCCTCCCTCCCCCTCCTCCTCCTCCTCCTCCTCCTCCTCCTCCTCCTCCTCCTCCTCCTCCTCCTCCTCCTCCTCCTCCTCTCCTCCTCCCTCCTCCCTCCTCCTCCTCCTCCCTCCTCCCCTCCTCCTCCTCCTCCTCCTCCCTCCTCCTCCTCCTCCTCCCTCCTCCCTCCTCCTCCCTCCTCCCTCCTCCCTCCTCCCTCCTCCTCCTCCCTTTCCCTCCCTTTCCCTCCCTTTCCCTCGCTTTCCCTTCCTTTCCTTCCCTTCTCCTCCCTTCTCCTCTCTTCTCCTCTCTCCTCTGTCCTCCCTCGACCCCTCGCTCCTTCCCCTGCCCCCTCCCGTCCGCCAGCCTCGAAGATGAGAATGCCGAGCGCCCACCAGTCGACAGCCT